GTGGGTGATTTGGCAAAAGAAGGTAGGCCATACTAACCAAAATGTCCATCAAAGCACTTAAAATATTTTTGCTTTATATAACTATTCTTGTGTGTATGTTATATAGTAAATTAAAACGCAGTGAATCTATTTATAGAAATATTTTTGGTGGGATGGGTGAAAAAAGCTTTTATGAACTGGTAGCTTATTTTGCATTAAATAATAAATAAGAGACTCATCTTTATATGAACGTTTAAACAGAGAGTTCTTCCCTCTCTAGGATGTCTTCTGTTTACATCCTCTCAAAATAGACATAACAATTTAAATACTTTCGTATCGATTGCCGCTATTTCACAAACTTGAGCAAATTAATTTTGCTGCAGGAGAACTGTATGAAGGTTTTGATGAGGAATATGAATGTCCGATTTTGGATGAAGACAGAGTAAGTTCAACTTCAGAATCTAGCATTTTTATATTTGATTTTCTGTAATTATAAGTAAATTTGCCTGTCTCTTTTTTTCTGTAGGTAATTGATGAACTAGAAGACAAAATGAGTGATGGTGGAGTTATCATTGATTATCATGGCTGTGATTTTTTCCCAGAAAGGTGGTTTCATATAGTATTTGTACTTCGTACAGAAAATTCATTTCTCTATGACAGACTTGAAAGCAGGTATGTCAGTGGAGTAAATACAGCGTAAAGTACTATTGCATAATTTTGTTGGAGATATTTCTAGGGTATAAGTTATTGCTTCTGTATACATTATTTTATGGTTCTCTGCATACACGAGGTAATGGCTAGCTTTCCACGTTGCTCTTGTTTTGTAGGGGCTACAAAGGGAAGAAGCTACAGGACAACATTCAGTGTGAAATTTTTCAGACTCTTTATGAGGAAGCCGTGTCGTCTTACAGAGAGGAAATTGTACACCAGTTACCCAGCAACACTCCAGAAGACCTAGAGCGAAATTTGGATCAGATTATGCAATGGATTGAGCAATGGATGAAAGACAACAATTGACATCTGGTGGAAAAGTAACTCTGTTAGATCTCTTCCTGGAGGGGCTTAATAAGTGACATTCATAATTATTTAATGGTAAATCGAAATAAATTTCATTGTAGTTTGTTTTGGCTGGGAACTAGAAGAAGTTTCATAATAGCCAAAGTTCTAAGGCTTTGGAACAGCCTCTGAAACGGTGGGTGTTGGCACACAGGAGAACTGACTCTAGAATAGAAATTAAGCAGTGAATGAAAGGATTAGGTGACATGGTTGCCTTTAACAGCAGGAACTGAGCTCAGGAACTGAGGATTCTTTGGAGCTTATGGTTGAAATGAAACCTTTTTATTTCCCCACTAACAAAACTATAAAATTGTAATGACTGATGACAGTTGAGGAGCTTTTGATCGCTAAAGGTTCAATTAGTGTACTGAAAAGGAAACGGTCTGCTTCTGAGTCATTAGACTGCAAATTGCTATATTCCAGTATATTCTTAAACATGTGGAAGCTAATGTAGAGTGAGGGGTTTATTACATAGTTTAAGGTAAGGTATTTAGGGTATTTTGGAGGTAAGAGATTTGACCTAGTGAGAAAGCTCTTTTTGAATGTTTCATAGAACATAAGGAATTATTCATGCTGTAAGGAAACATCAGCTATATCTGCACTGATGTAGAAGAGTAAGAAAGAAGCCTTTTTCTCCTCTGTCTTCCCTGTCACCCATCTCAATCATGGAAAGTATTTATCAAGGTAAACTTCTTAAGGAAGCAGTAGTGCTCTTGTATAGTAACAATCCTCCAGTGACCTAAAACATGGTTACGCTTAAAAGATTGGTAGCCATCTGTTCTAATGGCTTGTAAAGTGTGAGCCCTAGAAGGGCATGTTCTGTGATCCTCCTTCCCTGAACAGAAGGGTTGTAAAACTTTATGAAAGATTCTGTAGAAAGCGCTTGCCAATAGACTTTTATATACTTGAGGTTGAATAGTAAAACTATTTACCTGAAATTTGTATTGTGAAGAGTATAATGTTTACATATTTAAGATTCTATTTGTTGTGTTCCAAATATGGTGTAGAACCTCTTGTGAGAGTTACGGAGGCATATTCAAGTTTCTAGGAGAGTAAATTCTTGTCAAATTTTTGATGCGGTGACATTTGTAAGCAGACTGCAAGCGGAACTGTTGAAAAGCTGAAGTCGCGTTGCAGAATCGGGACCAAATATTGGGGAAATAAATGCACACGTGTCATTATTTAACAGCTATTTTCAGGGTTATTGCTGGAATGGGAAAGCTGGTGGAGGATGAAGTGAGGTAGCATGCAGTCAGCCGGTTGGGAAGTGTCTGCACGACACCAGCTATTGAGAATGTTCTGAAAGTCTTTGACCATGTTTCTGAGAATAAAAAAAGGGGGAAAGGAAAAACGAGTTTCTAAAAGCCGCGTGGGGGTCTTGTATTCTGCCCGCAAAACAGCACTTGCGTACCTCTGCTTAAACCGAAGCCTGGGCCTGTGGTTCCCGAACCGTCCCACGGTTGGGAAGTGTCTGCACGACACCAGCTATTGAGAATGTTCTGAAAGTCTTTGACCATGTTTCTGAGAATAAAAAAAGGGGGAAAGGAAAAACGAGTTTCTAAAAGCCGCGTGGGGGTCTTGTATTCTGCCCGCAAAACAGCACTTGCGTACCTCTGCTTAAACCGAAGCCTGGGCCTGTGGTTCCCGAACCGTCCCAATGAAGTGGGGGCCGCCCTTTGCCCAGCGGTTCGCGGCGGGTCTCACAGCGCCGAGGCTCGGCGTGAAGCCGCCGCGGGG